CGTTAAAAAATGTACCAGTACTAGTGGTACGCTACCAGTACAACGCTACCACTACCATTGGTAGCGGTACCAGTAGAGAATAAATGTACCACTAGCACTAGTAGCGCTACCACTAGCATTGGTAGCGATACCAGTAGAGAATAACAAAAAAAAAAGATGATAGTGGTACGCTACCACTACCAGCTACCTTATGGTAGTGGTAGGTACCACTATCACTAGTACGCTACCAAAAAAAAAATGGTACCACTAAAAAACCAGATCTAGAAAAGGGGAGTCGGTGACGGGAGAGAGAGGTAGGGGAAGAGGGTGACCTCGCGACAGCGGCAGTGGTGGGGGACGAAGGGCGGCGAGAGGGCTCCGACGGGGAGAGGATGATTGTGCCGCGGTGGTGGGAGGCGGAGGTGCGCCGAAAGGCTGCTGAAGGCGGAGGGGAGAAGATTTCGCTCCCGTCTCGTCCGCCGAGTAGGGAAACAGGAACTGCCGGCGAGGTTGGATACGACGGCGGAGGAGGATCGCGTCGGTGGCGGCGGTGGTCAGGCGAAGGAGGAGGAGGATAGTCGGAGATGGCGGAGACGAGATGGCGGTTGAAGGCTCGACAGACGACTGAAGGCGGAGGGGCGCCGACGCCGGCGGTGGAGGGTTATGGCGGCGGAGGGCTCTGCGAGAGAGGGAGGAGAGACAGTGATGGCTACGGGAGAGAGGGAGGAGAGAGAGAGGATGGAGGAGTTAGGGTTTTTTTCTTTTTATATGGTAGGGTGAATGATTGGGTGTGGTAAATTTTTACCCTCCAAAAATACCCTTCCTTTAATCTTAACCCTTAATTTAAAAAAAAAAGAAAAAAGAAAAAAGAAACAGAAGAGAGAACGTATCCAAGGGCTATAAAGTGGGTTGTGAATCTGACAACCCCCTTGGGGGTTGTCACCGTATCTCGTCCATAAAATCAAGGAACTAATAACTTGATTGATGGCTTAACGTAATTAAAGTCCAATTAATACAAGGGACATTGAGTGAAACAACCATATAATTACAAATACATACATCTAAATTAGAGCTGATAAAATTAACTCGTGGGTACCCGCCTGAATATGACCTAATCCGGTAGGGTAGAATCCGAATCCGACCTAATCGGGTAGGATAAAACTCAAATCCAAAGGATTTTTAATGGGTATGGTAAAAGCCGGACTCGAATATATTGCGGGTGGTAAGTGGGCATGATTTTCTCACTATTCAACATAAACTCGCCGAATTATAAATGAATATGTCTTTTGTTTTTTGAAAATGATCATTATTTTTTCAGCATATTTGATATTTATCATACATATTTTTTTTTCAATCAAACTGTATTGCTTTCAACTTTTCTTCGTTCCTGTAATTCATTTTTGTAGTTTTTCACTTATCTAATGCCAGTATCCGTGTACCTGCTAAATTGTTTGTTGAAGTTACAAAGAAAAATTACTATTCATGGATAACTGTGAATACCCGAAACTCAATTGGGTATGAGTATGTTTTGATATTTAACCTGATTCTTATATGAGTACGGGTAGAACACAAACTATTTTAAACAAGATAATGAATATGCACTATCTGTCAGCCACCCACCCGGTTCCATCCCTACCCTTATTAGTTTTCATGAAAGCATAACCAGCACTAGTAACTTAATTTAGGGTTGAAAGCATCCACATGACGTCGTCCCAAATTGAAAAGACTCCTAAACTCAGACGACTTCATCAATCAATAAAACTAAAAACTGTTTTAGAAAGTGCTAACCATTTTGAGCTACTAATTGATTTCCAGAAGAGCATCTAACTCCAATTAATTTATGAATTCTCTTCTTCCCCTCTAACTCTCCTCGGAAGAATCGGTTGCTCATTTCCTCGGTCCAATGCAGGTGGTCATTAATTTGCAAGGCTCAGAACATGCATGTGCCCATGAATCATGGCCGTTGTTAATTATAACTATTTTGAACGCACTTATCTCATATCTCTGCGACCTTACAGAATGTCAGAAGGAGGGACGACAAAGAAGAAAAGAAAAAGAAAAAAGGATAACTTGCCCTGCAATTGCAAACCAACTGCTGTTTTCCTTTCCTAGCATCTTATTAAATGAAAACTAGCCATAGAATTCAGTTCTGAAACGCCCACATGCTGTACATGTGATGGTGTGATTCTCCCATTAATTATTTTACAGGAGGAATGTTGAGTTATCTTCTAATTTAATGTGTGACATCGATAATGTAAGCATTTCATGAGAGCTACAAACTTTAGCTAAACATTTCGACTTAATTATACGCTTTGATCAGCCCCCTGCGGGCCAAAGTTTGGGGCGAAAATTTCAGAGGGCAAGGCGGGTTAAGAATTTCAGGGTGGGGCTCTGTCAAGAGTCAGTTGGTCCTAGTAACTTGGGTTATTGTGAGAGGTACAATCATGAATTTTATAGGGCATACTAACACGCCCTCTCAAACGAAAGTCACTAATCATAAGGACTTGAAATTTGCACAAGTCTAAATACCATGTGCTTAACAAATGAGAGTCGTGAAAATTTGAGATAAGAAGACCTCTCGACTACAGAAAGCTCTGATCCTTTCCGTTTAAAACCTGAATTGAACACGTAATTATGCATAGAAAATAAAATATGCTCGATCCCTTTTGTTATGTCTGATGCATGTTCTCTTTGTATCCGATTGTAAATCGTTTCTTTGATTTCAGGGCCTGGCTGTTATCCATGATGTAACTATCTTCTTGATTGGATTAATATATGCTATCTTTTGAAAGAAAAAAAAAAGTCTGATGCATGAGAAAACATATAGCAAATGATCAGAAAGTCAACAGAAGTACATTTTTTTTTAATACAACTGTGTTATCAAATATATGTATTACCCCTTTCCAACTAACACGATCGAAGAGAGCCTCATTGTGCGGGTAAAGAGTAAACACTGCACTGTTCAACTACCTGTGTCGACGGCTTCCAACTAAATGCCATTGCCCCATTGCTCTTCTGACTCTCTCTCTCTCTCTGAGTTTTTGCAGACCACATATCATTAAGATGGCAGCATTGCATTCAATGTCTGTGTCTGATGAGGATCGGGGGAAAGAACAGAGCAAGGTTCTTTAATGCGCATCCATAGCAGTTTGTCTCAATCTGATCCAATAGGTCGACTGAATTACACATACATTCAACACCATACATATATGGTCACTATTGGTGTACTTCACGAGTATACCTTGCTTCAAGTAATCTAGAGTAATCGCTCTTAATCTTATACACTAGATACTAACATTTGAGTGAAAAATCTGATCTGCTTAAATTTGTATAAGATGATCTTTGCTAATCACCCGAATAATATATACCGTTTACTATTAGATTACCACGGTATTGAGAGTTTCGATCAGAGATGACTAAAAGATTCAATATTTTCATGATCAAATTAAGTATGTGTAATTTTACACAAGATTCATATCCAATTATCCAAGCCATTGTCCTTCGATATTACTTTTACTAGTTTAGCTTTTGTACAACATTGTGTGGAAATTGGTTTCCAGCGGGACGCCGACAGGTTTTTTAGTAACAAAAGTGTCGGTGTAGTTAATAAAGTTTCACCAACTTCTGTTTTACCACAAAGAATTCTCCAACTGTTTTTCACAGCATCAAGAGGGGGGAAAACATGTTCTGGACATCATAGCCTGTAAATAAGTTTCCCATCACATGAAATACAAGCTATCTTATGATTAACTTACACAGTTTTGGAGCTTTCCTCCTTCATTCATTGATATATAGGGTTTTGCTGGACCTAGATCAGATTTTTCACATGTACCAATCAAATTCCTTAACCATATGTGTTGTCCAAACTCTAGGGGGGAAACTAAAGGTAGACAAAAATATGATTTGTGGATCTGATTAGTCATATGCCTTTTATTTTGTTAATGTTCCTTTTTAGCATGATATTGATCTATCAAGTTAATTATCTGTCAAATTCAGCAATATTTGTGTTATTAGTGAGATTGATTATTTAAATGGTGATTTTTTATGGCTTATACAAATCTTTTATGTTTTTATGGTCCGGCGATAGAATGTTGAGGGATCGCTTGGTTATCTAAATGTTAAATTGATGTATTGTGACGAAATGCATGTAATAGACATGTATTAATAGAATGGTTACATTCTAAGACTACAACGCTTTCATCTTTAGTGGTAGTTTCATGTTTGGATGATAGAATTGCTCGAGACAATTGGCCCAATAGCCTTAAAATGAAGCAATTTGATCAAATTGCCTTGTTTGATATTACAAAACTGGGTGCAACCGATACAAAACTGGAATGCAACGATTGGATGGAGACAACTTGAACTGCCTCATTTTGCATCAATTTGAATTGACAAGGGGAAAACAAGTATTGTGGAATGATATATCAATTTGAATTTGCAAGTGAGTCAAATATTGTGAAATGATGCATCAATTAGGAGATGAGGCAATTTTGATGCAATTCAGTCTAGTTGTCTCATTTCAGAAATCCATAATCCAAATGATCCCATATTTTAAACGAGCCACTTTTTAACAAAATATCATTTATATCCCTTCGTTCAACATGAAATCAAACAGTAAAGAGTAAATCGGAAAGGAAAATTAAACAATTTCAACAATTTTCATATTTTCAAATTGTTTTTGCCACATAAAAAAACAATTCATGAATTATGTATTATTGAAAATAAAAGAAGTATAATAACAATCTCGCATAAACAATCCCAGAAACCAAACCATACCTAATTTCTTTGCATTGCCTCCATATGAGTAAAATATTATTAAGGAATAAAAAGTCTTTCACCTTTTATTATACTTGGCCTCTTAGACTAAACTAACATCATTATCATTATAATAATTAAGGAGGAATGATTGGGTCATAATAATGATGAGTCCACTTCTCTAAGATCAACATTCCCCTTAATTGAAAACAACTTGATCATCCTTCTTCATCCTCCCCTATAAAACTCACTCCACACATCTCTTTCTTCCTTAACACATTCCCTCCAACACACTTCTCTCTCTCTCTCTCGAAAACCCAAATGGCAATCAAGCTCTCTCTTCTTCTCCTCTTAGCTCTCCTCCAATTCCCAACCCACATTTCCACTTCCCCTGTATCAGACCCTGAATCAGTTGCAGAGGAAGTAGACAGGTAAACTTCCCCTGTTTCTTCAGACTCTGTTCATCATCCTTCTTGGCCCCCAAGATTTAATTTGTAACTTAATTCCTCTGTTTTTTTTAACAGGAGCATAAGGAATGCGACGGATGTAAGGAGGAGCTTGGGATTCCTTTCCTGCAAAACAGGGAACCCCATCGACGACTGCTGGCGATGCGACCCAAAGTGGCACAAGAACCGCAAGCGCCTCGCCGACTGCGCAATTGGCTTCGGCAAGCAAGCCATCGGCGGTCGTGACGGCAAGTACTACACCGTGACCGACCCGGGCGACCACCCGGTCAAACCCAAACCGGGCACCCTGCGCTACGCCGCGATCCAGAACGAGCCGCTCTGGATCGTGTTCGCCCGCGACATGGTCATCAAGCTCAAAGCCGAGCTGATGATGAATTCATTCAAGACGATCGACGGCAGGGGCAGCTCCGTGCACATAGCAGGAGGCCCCTGCATCACGATCCAGTATGTGACGAATGTTATCATCCACGGGATCAACATCCACGACTGTAAGAAGGGAGGCAACCTGTACGTTCGAGATTCACCCGAACATTTCGGGTGGAGGACCGTCTCGGATGGGGATGGGGTTTCGATTTTCGGAGGGAGCCACGTCTGGGTCGATCACTGCTCGCTGTCCAATTGCGCGGACGGGTTGATCGATGCGATTCATGGTTCGACTGCCATTACAATTTCGAACAATTACATGACACATCATAATAAGGTTATGTTGTTAGGGCACAACGACGGGTTCACTCGGGACCGGACGATGCAGGTCACGATCGCGTTCAATCATTTCGGTGAAGGGCTGGTGCAGAGGATGCCGAGGTGTAGGCACGGGTATTTCCATGTCGTGAACAATGACTACACGCACTGGCAAATGTATGCCATCGGAGGGAGTGCTGCTCCGACGATCAATAGCCAGGGGAACCGGTTTCTGGCTCCGGATGACCGGTTCAACAAAGAGGTACTATACTTCGTTCAATCAAATCATACATGCATATGCATAAGTCAATAGCATATCACACAAGAGCAGTTTAATAATGACTTTATAATATATTTAACGAGCCGAATTAATTGAGATGAATTTGTTATTGCGCTCGAATTCGCTTTCGATCCACAGGTGACAAAGCGAGAGGTTGCATCGGAGAGCGAGTGGAAGAAGTGGAACTGGAGATCGCAGGGGGATCTGTATCTGAACGGCGCTTTCTTCACGAGGTCCGGTGCCGGAGCTTCTTCGAGCTACGCGAGGGCGTCAAGCTTGGCGGCTAGGCCGTCGAATCTCGTCGCTTCGATCACCGCCGGTGCTGGCTCGCTGAAGTGCAAGAAAGGTTCATCCTGCTGATTGGAATGAAAGAAAAGAATGTCCCTGAAACAGAGCGGCAGGGTTGATTTGGTTAGTCATTAGAACTACTAATTGATTTTGGGTTTTGGTGACAATGAATGATGTTACTACGTGAAAATCAAAATAGTACAAAATTGGAGGGAAGAAAAGAAAAGGAGCCTGTCCTAATTGTACGTTGGTAATTGGTGAGACAAGAAAGGGACAAGAGCTTTTTATTTATTTATTAAAGGAATTATAAATAAGCTTTATTTTGTACACTTTTCTTAAGCTATCAATCCAAGTGTCTATTAATGGAGGCTATCAGAATTCAGAGCCATCAATACCCACTGCAAAGTTAGTGTTTGATCGATATAAATGTAGATAGGATATTTTGTGGTATGCGTGATACACTAACTGAAATGCGACGTGCTTTGAATTTCACACTCATATTGTCAAATTCAGTTTTCAGTGAATTCAATTTCGAATTACTTGTCTCACTTGAATCAATATAGTCAAAAGTCTGTTTCTAAGTAGAAGTATTTTGAAGCTTTAAAAAACAGTTTTAAACTATATTATTTATAAAAATTGTGATTATACGTGTAGAAGCGGTTTGGTAACATAGAAGCGTAAAAGCGTAAGTTTTAAACTTTATAGCGCGATTTTGACTCCATTGACTTGGATTATTACATGAATGCATCTGTTATGCTTCGATGATACTTAAACACACCATTTAATTTCGTGCGCCCATCTACCAACTGACTACACACATCTGAAACTCATGTAGATTGCAACAAAGTGTCAATTATTCACTCTTATTACAATCATATAACAACTTAAGTAGGAATTTCGAATTACTCACTCTTATTACAATCATACCAACTTTATAGCAGATTATTTGTCCGTCCAGATAATAACTTGCCATTACTCTTGCTTATTGCCCTTTATGTCCCTTTTTAACATGAAAAAAACAGAGTGATCAAGTTGTGAATTCTGAACATATTGAAAAACAGAGGTAAGTCGACAAATTTTCCAAAATGGAAAGTGTCGGTGTGGTTAATTAACTTCCACCAACTTTTGACTACCAGAAAGAAGGAAAAAAGAAACCTTCAGGCTAACAACTTGCTTTCACTGAAATATGAAGAGGGCAAAAGAAAACAAACTGACCTGCTGCATCAATTATTTCCCTATCAAGCTAGGATGATCTAAAATTTGGAGCTTTCCTTCATATATGGGTTGCTCGATTAGATCTAAGTTTTGTGCATGTGCCAATCAGATTCCACAACCATATGTGTACTTGAAGTAATAATAGGTACTGGTATGTGTATTAGTATTGATTATCAATTAATTAAAAGTACAAGATTTGGCACTGTTCATTACAAAAATTCCGTCAATTACTTAATTATCAATTAATTAAAAGCACAAGATTTGACACTGTTCATTACAAAAATTCTGCCAATTACTTAATGGTTACGGTTGATTGGGGGATTATTTTCACGTGGCCGCTTTTATAGTGAGATTTATGTTCCCATGTTCTTCTGTGGTTGGCTAACCAATCACCTATTTTGGTTTGTCTTTCTCCTTGCATATAACATTTACATAGATCAGATAGTTATTTACTTTTAATTACTTGATTCTTTCTTTCTATTAGCATGTGCCTAATGGGCCGTTTACTTGCCATTCCATTTTTGTTAGCTGCCACAATAGAAAACAAAATTAAAATGAAAACGAAACTATCATTTCCTGGAAAACAAAACCTGAAGAAACCTTGTTTAGCTGAGAATTTTGGTGAGTTCTAAAATGATTTCTTAAAATGAAAACCTGTTTAATTGTTTCATAGATAACTTATTACTACAATTTTGTTTATTGAGTATCATACAACCCTAATCATGATACAATAAACAAAATTCATCTGCCACTTTCCACCCCACACATTTACAACTCGTTGAAATAAATCAGGAGAACAATAGAAATTAGAAGAAAGAAGGGAGTTCATGAAAGGAATGAGAAAGAGAAGTAAGATCAAATAACAAACAAGTAGTCATATGGGTTGTTGTAAATTCCATGGTGAGAGGCGGATGATTTCTAACAGATGCAACAACGGCAGAATCTCAATTCTCAATGACCCATCGACAACACAGTCAAAATCAACACACACATAAAACATGATTTTGATTAAAACGAGGGTTGGGTAACAATTGCTCACAAACAGTTCACCCTGTAAAGTGCTCGACTCGCCGGCTGGAACTTATTTGGGTGGAACTCTATTCGGCGGCTAGGCCTTCGACAGGTGGAGCTCGACTCGCCGGGTGGAACGATTCATCAATGCTGCTTGATTTTCGCCGGACGGAGGGGGAGAGTGAGGCTGGACCGCTTCATCGCTACTACTTGATGTACGCCGGCTGGAGGAGAGAGAGAGAGAGGCTGGACGAGGGAACGATTCGTTGTTGCTGCTTGTCTTCGCCGGCTGCTAGTGGTCTGGGGGTAGAGGGAAATGAAGATGAGAGACGGGGGCTGCTGAAGGGATAGGGAGACAATGGCGGTTGCTCGTGGACTGAGAGAGAGAGAGAGAGAGGGAGATGATTAAATTCGTAGTCTAGGGTTGCAATGGTAAGGAGCGGAGCAAAACCAAAAAAAATGCAACAGGGGGGGTTTCGAACGAATCATTAATGAATAGTAACGATTTTCCGCTAGGCAACAGCGGATAACACGTCCCAGTGTTTCCAGGAAACGAGAATTTATTGTTTTCCCCCAGCTACTTGATTTGTAACAAATGGATTTCTTAAAAAAACAAAATTGCAAGTGAACACGTTTTTTTGTCATTTTCATTTTCACAACAGAAAACAGAAAACAAAATGGGAAGTGAACAGGGTATAACTATATCATTGGTTGGCCCGGATCAACAACTTAACACTTTACCAAATGATGTTAATATAAATAACTAATTTACTAAAATCCAAGCAAGTCGCTAATGCGGCTACCGTTCCTTACGAAGAAATCGGCGACTGAATTAATTAGAGCGACACTGTTTTTAATGAGTTACATTCAATTTTATTATAAGCTCTTCTAATATGCATTATATTAAAGTTAACCAAAACAATATTTTCATCGATAGACAGTACCCTTACACCTAATTTTACTATAAGCTTTTATTTATTTATTTGTACTATGCAAAAGTAAAGAGGGATATACCTATACCCAATTTACTATAAGCTATCTATTATTTTCATTTAACAAAATTTAAACAAGAATTTTATCTCCTACACTCAATTTTACTATTAATTCTTTGTTACATACAAAAAGTATGATCGGTGTAAATTTTTTCCTCAAACGGGTACCGTTAACAATAAGTTTTGTCTTCAAAAATCAATTTTACTATAAACCCTTTCTTATTTACATTATAAAAAATTCTATAAAGTCATGTATTTTTTTACCTACCATTTTACAGTGTCTGATACTTTTTATTATTTAATTCATTTATTATTAACCAAAATATTCACAATCTCATCAATGTTCATTACGCAAAGATTTTGTATGGTCAGCTAACTTTTACATAATTTTACTTGATTTTGTGATTAGGTTTATATGTTTGGTGGCATTGTTGATGGATGTTACAGGGGTGTTTACCTGATAGATTATGTACACATTCCTTCTCCACCATGGAGAGGAAGAAAACATTATGATGATTTGACTGCTGAAACTAAATATAATGATAGCAAAATGATTTATGATATTAAAGGGATACCTTATCAACGCAGGGGCGGAGCTAGGATTCGCAAGTCGGGGGGCCGACAATTTTTTTTTTAATTACAAAGAGGAGACAAAATTGAAGTGGCTTTCATGGGGAATTCAATGCTCGTGAGTAATTCAATGCTCGTGAGTAATTATTATTGAAAAAATTGAGCAGTTATTAAACTAAAAAGCACAATTTGTAGTGGCTCTTGAGCATCGAACCTAGGTCTATGAAACAACAATTCAGCAACGAATCCGCTAGAGTACTAGCACTCTCCGTGTAAGTAACTTGCACGCTAATAAATTTATTAAAACCTTTATATTATTCATTTTTTTCCAAAATTCTCGACACAGGTACATACGATCTTCAAAATTCGGGGGGGGGGGGGGGGGGGGGGGCGAGCACCAATGTAGCTCCGCCCCTGTCAGGACGTGCAATAGCAGAAAATGAGAGAAGTTGGACAAGTGTATCCTGAGCCTATTGCAACTGTGGGGAAGAAGAAGTCGAAGATAGAAGAAGAAGATCCCCCCTCTATGCATTTGCAAAGAGGTGACTGGTCCCCAAGTATATTACAGTGCTGATTTTGGGTTGGACCGGTTCGAGGTCATTGGTCGGACCACCCCCGGGTTGACTTCTATTAACTAGCTTAGACTTTTGTTGACTGAATTGACCAAGTTGACTTTGACTTGGGTCCAAATTCTTTTTTTTTTACAATTGTAATTAGTGTAATGCAAGAGCAATTTAGCAATCTAATTAATTGTAATTAGCATTGCGCTCATCTTGAAGAGATTGTTATGACTTCGTTTTATTGTTTAGAAATTTAGACCTAATCTCACTAGACTCGACGTCTTATAAATAATCACCTTGCACGACAAACAAAATCATATTCATGTCTAACACGTCAACTCTATCAAATTGTACCAAGCAAGATTTGTAATTGCTAATCTTAGTCGAGGCAAAGTGACGACCTATCCTAAACACTATAAATATGTTTTAGCTTGAAGTTCGCTATTGCAAATCTCAAACAAAAACCAAATTTTATTTTGTTAAATATGTTTTTAACTCGAACAAAAATTGATGTCTACAAATAGCATCAAATATACTTTATCATACTGGTTGAACACTTGAAATGATGATAGATTAAACTCATAGGTCACAGGTCCAAATCTTGATCATGATGATTGATATATATGTTTATTTAATTTAATTTTAATATAATTAATAACTTAAAAATGATAAAATGACATGAAAAATTGTGGAGTTTTCTTTGTTCTAGGTGGCAAAAACTTTCTCTATTACGACCATAATATAAGTTTTTTTTATAGAAACACCTGTATTGTTTCATTTATGATGAAACAGTACAAGAATCAGCTTGAAGCTGTGAAATAAGGAAAACAGGGGGCCTAAGAGTCCAACATTCAATCTGGGCCCAATCACAAAGGGTGTGAGTCATGATGTGGGCCGCCTGGTTGCTGATATTGCCCGAAAAGTGAACCAAAATCGGTTTGATCCTATCCATTATCTCTTTGATTTCTCCACTCAGATCACCTTCCTCCATTATCGACCTCTCCTCCCGCAAAATCAACGAGACGGCGGTGAGACAGTCCGATTCCACCTCCCTGGAAAAAATTGATGTAGTTCCGCCATTTCCAAACCAAACCGAATCGCTTGCAGCTCTGCTATCTCCGGCGTCCAGTGATCACGCACTCGTTTGACGGCGGCAAAGCAGAAATGCCCTTGCCGGTTACGGACCACGATCCCCAATCCAGTCCCCCCCCCCCCCCCACCCTCCAGGCATGCAGCATCCACATTGATCTTGAACTCAGCAAACTCCGGGGGCTTCCATCGATAAACTCTCTTCTCGGCCTTCTCCAATCGCTCCTCTTGGTTTTCCAAGTATTCTTCCAACCATCTACTAGCTTTCCCCAGAATCTCAAATTCTTATAGTTTCTTCTTGTTCCAAAGTTGACTGTTTCTTTCTTCCCATATGAACCACAATGCTACGAGGAACATTCCCACTCTCGAGTCATCCTCCTCCTCTTGCAGCTTCACCATCCACTCCTCACAGGTATGTTCTTCTCCTTTCTTGAATAGATCGCTTAGAGAACTGGGTCTCCAAACTCTGCATACCCAACCATAGTCTAGAAAGATGTGGTATTGAGTTTCTCCCTGCTCACAGAAGGGGCATTCGTCGCAACCCCTTAGGATCTGATCCACAATGTTTGCCCCAGTAGGCAAGACATTCCTTATCCATTGCCAACCAAAGACCTTGACTTTATGAGGGATTTTGAGACCCTAGAATCGGTCCCAGTTTGTAGGGGTATATAGCTCACCCTGAATTGCTTCCTCCCTATCCCTCCAGAAATGGTATGCAAACTTTAAAGAGTAGAAACCTCATTTTTCGAATCTCCAAACCAAATGATCTTCACATGGTTGTCTAGGGATCGGGATCTGTAGTATTCTTTGTCTATCTTGCGAGTTGAAATGAGCCTAAATTATATTGTTTCCATTGTCTGGTATTCGCATCCAGTAGCTCGTTTACTGATGTAGAGTTCCCAATCCGCAAGACAGGTGAAGTGATTTTGTGGTTTTCAGCCGAGGGTACCCATTTGTCAAGCCAAATGTCCACCTTTCAACCATCTCCAACCTTCCATCTTAGGCCCTCCTTAACTAATTTCCGAGTTGCCAACAGGCTCCTCCATATATTGCGCGCGTTATTACCCATCTCAGCCTCCAAAATTGATCCTGTAGGAAAATACTTGCCCTTTAAAACCCTAGAAACTAGAGAGTGGGGATTCTGAATCAGATTCCAAATCTGTTTGCCTAATAAAGCCAGATTGAAATCATGTAAGTTGCGGAATCCCATCCTTCCTTTGGATTTTCAATACATAGCTTCTTCCATCCAATCCAGTGGGTTCGTGTCTCAATGTTTTTATGCCCCCACCAAAAGTTTGAAAGTAATCTCTGAATCTCATGGATCACAGTTACAGAAACTAGGAAAACCTGCATTGCATATGTGGTTTGGGCTTGGGCTACAACCTTGATCAACACCTCCTTGCCTCCATAGGAAAGTAGGTTCCAGAGTTTAACCTTCTTCCCTACACGATCCACAAGGTAGCTGAACGCCTTTTTGCCTTCCAATCACAGTAGGTAACCCCAAGTATTTAGAATGGTAGGGTACCACCTTCATTCCAAGTACGTTAGCTAGTTCAGTTCTAGTCCCTTCTCCCACATTAGGACTGAAAGAGACTTCAGATTTCAATAGGTTGACTTGCTGCCCAGATTCATGATCATAGGTGGTTAGAATATTCCTTAGACTTTCACACTCCTTTTGATTCGCTTTGACAAACAACACACTGTCATCATCAAATAGAAGATGGGAGATAGGGGTAGCACCTACTTTAACCTTTATCCCTTCTATCCTCTTGTCTCGTTCATCTTGTTGTAGCAATCCAGAGAGTCATTCAACAATGAAAAGAAAGAGGTAGGGGAAATAGGATCCCCTTGCCTGAGGCCTCTCGTAGGATAGAAAGTCTCGGTCTTGTGGTCATTAACTAGGATTGAGTAGAATACGGTAGTGCACACTTCATAATAAGAGCAATCCGCTGATCTCCAAAGCCCAACCTCTTCATAACAGCTTCCAAAAAAGGTCATGCTACCATATCATAAGCTTTCGCTATGTCTAGTTTGGCCGACATAAAACCTTTATTTCCTTGCTTTCTACCCTTCACTGAATGGAAACACTCGAACGCCATCACTACATTGTCTGTTATAAGTCAACCAGGAACAAAAGCACTCTGAAACTATGAAATAACCATATTCAACAAGCCTTTTAACCTATTAGCCAGCACCTTCGAAAATATCTTGTAAAGAACCTTACACAAACTGATAGGACAAAAATCAGCTCTAGTTCCTGCCTCTATCTTCTTCGGGATGAAGGTCAATAGTGTATGAT